GTCAGTCAGCGAGAAGCTGTCAGGAAGGAACGCGCCACGACCGTTCATCCGTTCGGACAAAAGGAACGATTTCAGCTTACAAAGTGCCGCGTCATCGCGAGAACGCGGGAGGTCCGAGGAGATATCCAACAGGAATTATTATCTACTCTTTGCTCTTATCGAAGGAGGAAGAGGACAACCGAGAAGTGCCCACTCGAATCCAGGAACAAACGACCCTCGAATATGTTTATGCTCAGACATTAAATGTATTTTCATCGCGCATTTCGCATCATCGAATTCATCGACGCATTCAAATATCGCAAGAATCCTTCGAAAATTCTACAGAAGGAATTTCTCCAATTGTTTTCAATTAGAAAAATAAAAATTCGAAAGCTATAACGCGTTCAAAGCCGTATAGGTATTTTCTATCTGTATATATAATATCGTTGCGGTTACTGAAACGCGATTGAAATCGTGGAAAATGAACGATTATGAATAAACGGAGAAACTATCGACAGGCTCATATCTTTTAATTCTTTTTTTCACGATGCAACGATGAAAGGCAGCTTTTATCCTAGACCCGATCGACACCGAACGAGAACAATGGAAACACAAAAGTAGTGACTGACGGGTCGGTGGATGAATGTTTCGGTATAAACCTTCTCCTATAGGAAAGATCGGTGTTGACGAACGAACAACGCGTTCGTAGAAAGCTCGTTGGATAGATCGACGTTTTAAAATTCGATCGACGAGATGTAGGTTTTGTTTTTCCTTTCTGCTTTCTTTCTTTTTTCCCGATGAACTTGATAGAAATTAAAGGAATATTCGTGCGCCGACTCAATTAGATATACTTACTTTCGAGAAGGTCCATCATGCATTTGGGTTTATAGGAAATCGAATTTCGGCGAGATGTGCTCGAGGTACGGTATCCTCGACTTAAGTCTCCCTTTTACTCGAGGATACCGGAGCTTATTTGTTTAACTAAAATCTCCCATACGCTCTTTCACTTCTCGATAGGCAAAGATCGATAGGAAGGGTCGCTTGGCTTCCGTTAAGCCGAGACGAAGAGAGTGACGTGTGCGAGAGAGAGAATGAAAGAGAAAGAGAGAGAGACGAGTGTTCGAAGGACGATGTCCTTCGATGCTAAGAAGAAGAAGAAGAAGAAGAAGAAGAAGAAGAAGAAGAAGAAGAAGAAGAAGAAGAGCAAGAACAAGAAGAAAAAGAAGAAGAAGAAGAAGAAGAAGAAGAAGAAGAAGAAGAAGAAGAGCAAGAACAAGAAGAAAAAGAAGAAAAAGAAAGTTCTTTTGTGAAGCTTGAAAAACGAAATTCGTGGATCGTATAAAGCTAACCGTTATTTATTTCTTTGCGCGTGATTTCGTAGTATTTCAGTCGTCGGTTTTAGGAAATACGAGAAAAAGAAGACAACGAAGAAAAGAAGGAAGAGAATGGACTTTGAAAAAGGACACCGCATGCGAGGGAAAGTATAATATATATGTGTGTATATATATATATATATATATATATATATATATATATATATATATATGTATACTTAGGTAGGTACGTATAAAAAAAACAAAACAAGAAAAAGAGAAAAAGGCGTAGGAAAAAACATAGGAAAAAACCTAGGCATACTATTATCTATAGTAGGTACTCACTGGCAAAACGGGGATCATTGGTGGTCGGCGGTGCCGGTGCGTACCAAGGATGATGATGAGTCGAAACGGCGTGAGATCTCATGGGGTCTGCAACAGTGGCGGTACCGGCGACGGTTGGCCCGGCATGATGATAAGGTGAAAGTTCGGCGGTACAGTATTGATATTGCGAGGTGAGCTGCATCGTGGCGTAAGGATTACCCATGGCGGTCATACCGGGTGTCCCAGCGGCGCTCCCACCGGCCGCACCTCCGGCTCCGGCACCGGCGGCAGTTCCGGCGGTGCCGGCGGTACCGGCGCTACCGTTCCCGGCGCTCCCGGTAACAGGACCGGGCGTGCTACCGCCGGGCGTCGAGCCGCCGTGGAGCGGTGGACTCCCGCTGCTCGCGCTCGAACTTCCGGTGTTACCAGCGACTCTCGCGCCGCAGGCGTTACCGTACGGCGAACCCTGGGGGTGGCTAACAACGCCTACTCCGACGCCGACGCCGACTCCGACCGCCGCGGCCGCTGCCACGAGATCGAACTTTCTATATGACTCCTCCATCGGCGAGAGGATGTCGGTCACGCTGAACGGCGTCGTGTGAGCGCCGCCCCCGGCCTGCACGTGCGATGAGTGTTGCTTCGGCGAAAGACTTATCGCTAGATCGATGCTGTTCAAATCCGGCAGGAGACTCGCCTGCTCTAGCTGCGTCTGTTGTTGCTGCTGCTGTTGCTGTTGTTGTTGTTGTTGCTGTTGTTGTTGTTGTTGCTGTTGTTGTTGTTGTTGTTGCTGTTGTTGATGTTGATGATAAGTAGTCGCATTTCCGCTTGCCTGATTCCCAGCGCCGTTTCCGCTGGCACCGCTAGCTCCGCCGCCGCCGCCGCTGCCACCGCTCATCTCGGCGAGCCCGACGCCGTCAAAGTACTTGAAGCTCGTGCTTCGCGGAATCGTGAGGCCGGTGCTAGTCGCGAAAACGGCGCGACATGAGGAGTAGTAAAAGGAGGAAGAGGAGGCGGAGGAGGAGGAAGCGGAGGATGGATAGCGATCTATCGCGACGGTACCGTAGCTGCTGCCACGCTCGCCGGCGGGCAGCGGCTCACCTCGGAGGCGGTAATCCTCGCGGTAATCCTCGCGACGGTGATTCCTCGCGCGCGCAATAACACGCTAACGGCGTCACTCACTGACTCCTCGGCTCGACACACGGCACATTTTCTTTTTGTAAGCATTCACGACGGCGTTCACCTCTAGGCGCCGTTCACTTCGGCGATGTGTTCACCTTGGTGATGTTCACCTCGACGACGACGACGACAATGACGTCGATGACGATAGAAAGTTTGCGCGCGGACCGATCTTTGACCGATCGTTTGTTCTCACCGTCGCCATGCCGTCGTCGGCCCTTTCCGGACGACGGATGGCAAACGGTAACGCGAGCACTCGCACACTCACTCGCGACCCGACACAAGGCAATGCGACGGTCGGCGGCCGAGGAGGGAGCAGAGTGACCGGCAAGGCCGGCCGCCGACCGACTGAAATCACTCGCGGGCCTCTTTGAGTCCTTCGACCCTCTGTAGATGTACACCACTCTGCTCTTTGCCTCCACCTTCTTCCTCACTAGAAGAGTAGTAGCAGGTCTATGGATGGATAGCTGGTTGGCTGATTGGCTGATTGGTTGGTTGGTTGGTTGGTTGGATGGATGGATGAATGGATGGATAAATTAGATGATTCTCGCTGGCTAGGCTCGACTTGGCTTCTTAACCTGGCTTGAGCCGGCTTTCGCCTCGTCTTGCCTTGGCACTTTGTTCGTTGGTTCGCTGGCGAGTTGGCTGGCTGGCTGGCTAGCTGGCTTGCTGGCTGGTTGATTTTCTGGCTGACTAGATGGCTGGCTGGTTCGTTCGTTGGTTCGTTCGTTCGTTCGTTCGTTCGTTCGCTCGTTCGCTAGCTCGCTTGCTTGCTCGCTCGCTCGCTTCCTCGGATGGATGGATGGATGGGTGGATGGATGGATGAATGAATGGAGAGGACTGTCGGGTACTCCTGGAGAGGTCCTCACGGCCGCTTAGACCCACTTAACCGGCGCGCTCGGCCGTTCGCGCTCGCTCGCTCGCTCGCTTGCTCGCTCGCACGCTCACACGACCCGAGAGCGGAGGCTCCACAGGCTCTCGCGGAGAACCCGTACGACGACACGATGAGTGGAGTGCCCACTACGGAGAAGTGCCTGCTACCAAGAGTCGTGATGAGATGTCCCCTTTTGCGTGTGAGAGAAGGGCTTCCACTCTCTCTCGGGTGGGTACAGCCGCGCGTGGAGAGGGGCACCCGAGAGACTCTCCGATGTGCTCCTCCATGCGCCCTCCCACCGAGAGAGCTTATTTCTATGTCTCTTATCCTCTCGGCCTCTGCTATTGGCTGTGGATAGCCATGGGGCGTGCCTAGGAACAGCGATTGGCTCGCTACCGACCACGCCGAGACGCGCGATCATTCGTCGTACGGTACACTTGTGCGTCCTGTTGGTCATTATTTCTCTCCTATCAGCGCATACCATGGCTGATCAAGTCACGCCTTAACTAAACCCCCCCCCCCGTTTCCACCAACTGAACCACCGCCCTTCCACTTTTCATTCCATTCTTCCTTCCTTTCTTCCTTTCTTCTGTCTGTCCTTATTTCTTTCGAAGACGATCGCGGATTCGGGAAAGTCTGCGGGAAACGAAACGAGGCTAGAAAGGCTCTGATCGTGCCGTCGATAAAATTATTCCTTAACACATAATTTTTTGTGTTCTTCGGTTGGAGACACGTTTTTCCTCTCTTTCCCTTTTTCCTTGGAATATTCATCATGTGTTCTGTATTTTTGAAAGCGAAAGTAATGTGAAACGTGATTTGTGTGTAGTCTTCTATTTGCGCGTTGCTTCTTCGAAACGAATGATAAATACGAGCTTGGGATAATCTTAAACTGATATAAGAACGAAGAATGAAGGGTTCGCGATTTTCGACATTGCAGTTTTTTTTGTTTCTTCGGTGAAGTGTTTCGATAGCTCAAAGAATGAATCCGCTTATCAAAAGACCTTAAATCGTTTTACTTTTTTTTTCGTATCTATTTCCAAAATCGTCATAATAATTGTCAAACTTTTTCTGAGATTGGAATATAATTTTCTCTTACAATATTTTCCCTTTGAAAACGATTTCTTAAAAATTAATCTCGAATCTTATAGTTCGTATCAGAGCTTAATCTTCGATTATACAAGACAAATTGTTGATTATTCGAGACGATAGAAAGAGGAGGACTTTTATCGAAAAAACAACGCGGGAAAAATAACTTTCTGTTTGATTGAAAATAATTCGTGTTCCAATAAAGCTACGATCGACATCTGTGTGATAAATTGCGTATTGAGTATGTCTTCCAGAATGCAGCACCATCTATGATTTTATCATGTTAAAAGCTATTGATTCTAATTCTTAACCTCACTTTTTTCTACTTCATCAAGGAAATGGCATCTCGCGTATTAAGATTATTTGGAACAATTAATTCTTTAAAAAATTATTATGTCGTGGAAAATGGTATACTTTTTAAAAGTTTTCATCAGTATAGAGATTTTTTTATCTTAGTTTTATAAACAATATTTATCTATCTCATTTTCTTTTAGGAAGCAAAATTTTTTCTTCCATTTATAAACATAATTTTTTAAAGTCTCATATTCCCTTAATCGACAATACTCGGAGTACGGCATTTTTTAATAAACGTAAGTACTTGTTCCTTAATTTTTTGTTTTTTATCTCGTTTATTTATGCTTATAATTAAACAATTATATAGGTCCTGCTGAACAATTATGGAAAGGTGTAACCAGTGTTAGCAATGCAGGAAAACGGAGAGGCAGAGCTCGTGGATTGGCAAGAAAAAAGGATTTAAATAAAGGTCAAATTATTGGCCAGGGTAGAATTCCAATACAGTTTCCTGGGTTAAATATTCCAATTATTAGAGGAAAAGAAATATTAACTCAAAAGAAACTACCAGAGGATCCTGAAAGACAAGAAAAACTTGTTAAATTACGTGATTCTATATCAGTACGCAAATCCATTAAATTAAGTCCTTTGGAACGTGGTTGGACAAGTCATAAACCTGGAGGCATGAAAATAGGTCCTCCTGAACCAGTGGGTGAAGGTAATATTTTTTTCTATCGTTTCTACAGAATTTAATATATATACTATTTAACTCAAAATGTTACTGTCTAGATACATTTGATGGCTTTGAATCATGGGTATTGGAATCTAAGGTAGTATCCACTATGACTCATAATTTAGGACGTAAAAATAGGATTAGCACAATGGTTATAACTGGTAATGGAAACGGATTAGCTGGATATGCCATAGCAAAATCAAAGGAAATAAAACAGAGTCTAAATATAGCCAAGAGAAAAGCTGGAACCAAAGTGATGTACTTTAATAGATACAATGATCATACTGGTAATATATATTATTACCTTTTTTACATATAAATTTAGGTAAAATTATATAAAAAAGTATTAATAATATTTATATATATATATGTATATATGCTAATTGTGTTGATATAGTGATGCATGATTTTTTTACACAATGTGGAAAGACAAAGATATACGTACATAAAATGTACGAAGGGTATGGTCTTATTTGTCATAGAGTGATAAAATGTTGTTGCCAAGCGATTGGTATAAAGGACATTTATGCTAAAGTAGAAGGTGCTATAAATTATCAAAACATCGTTAAAGCATTTTTGATGGGTCTTCTACAGCAGGTGAAATAATAGAAATTTTTAACATTTAAATCCTTTGTTAATTATAAATTATATACTATATATTTATAGAAAACATTCCAACAAATGGCGGATGAGAAGCAATTACATTTGGTCGAATTTAGAAAAGAAAACGACGATTTTCCTGTCGTTGTTGCCTCTCCAGCTCGTTGTAGAACAGAAGACGAAATAAAACCAGACGAAATTTTAGATTTTAGTCAATATTTAATGGATGGAAATATTATATTGAAGAAAAAGAAATTTCCCCCATTTTATACTAAGCTTGATTCTTGGATTATACATCAAAGAAGAATGGAACGTATTAGAAATAAAAAAGACGTTAAATTAAGATTACTTGCAGAATATGGTGTGGTTCGTAGTTTCCTTGCTGATAAATATCCAGAAGCAAGAGAAATATTATGGTCTAAGAAACGAGTACAAGAAGAAAAAGAAGCGAAGGGAGAATAATTTTAGAATATTTTCTCAAGATTGTAGGAATCTATTTAGTTGTAAATAAAATGTGACTAATAACACTCATAAAAATAAAATTAAAGAATGATTTGAAGAAAGAATCTATGAATAAAATTATAATCAAATGAAAAATTACAATCCTATTTATCCTCTTTTATTATATTATTATTTTCTCTATGTAATTAATTTTTATGTAAATTTTATATATATCCATTTTTGCAATGCTAAATTTTGATTTTTATATTGACATTTGTATAAAAAATTTCTATTATTTAAACATTTTAATAAGTTTCGATACTTTTTCAGATTCATTAAAATTTTACGTTTATACTAAATTAAGATAGATAATTAACATATAAAATCAAAAATAGCAAACAATTTTTTATTTATCCTTAAACCATCTTTGTAACGTAAATATCATGTCCAATAGAATATGAAAAATTAATTAGAGTGTCCAATAGCCAATAAGAATATTCCTTTAAGAAAAATGTTAAATTCGTTGCGATTGGTTGATAATTATTGATATTATGTTCTTAGTAAACTTGATTTATGAAATTTTTTGAAAAAATAATCGAATAATTGCATTATCATTAAATTGATTTAAAAAATAATATGATTATGTGACAGATAATATGATCTTTAATTATATTATATATATTATATTAGGTATTAATTTTCTTTATTTAATTTTTCCGTAAATAAGTATATTCTTAGAGTTGAAATATAGCGAATTTACTAGCTTATTGTGTTAAGTATTTTGTAAATAACTATTAGTAATATATGAATCTCTTCTCATTGTTACCACTAGTTTATTTTAACTTTTAAATATTTCCATTTTTATTTTTATCATTGGTTCAATTCTTTTATATAATCCTTCATGTTCTTTTCAATGCCCAGCGATTGTATGTATGTATACATATATATATCAGGAAATTTTTTTTTATCGAAAAACGGTTGTATCTAGCGATACATATCGATAGCATCTCTACTACTGAGAAACGGTAATTATCCATCTACAGGATGATTTGGTGACGTCCTATTCAAAGATGGCGGTGACGAGTAAGCCATGTTTTTTGTGATGTTCGTGCAATAGACAAATTTTTGAGATTTGTAAATCGTATAAGCAAAATGGCTGATGATGATCCGTGGTTATTAAAAGAAGACGGATATTTGAATGTGGACGCCGAGTGTAAAAGCATAATCTATCATGCGAATTTAAATGTATTACTGATTACTACTAGCAAGGCGCAAGTATACGTATTTGATGTCAACTCTGGCGTAATTTTGCAAAGAAGTTCTCTTTCAGGTATACATTTTGATCTTGTGCGCAATACATTTAACTTATAAGAAAATCAAATGTTCGCTTTACAAAATCTTTTATTATGCTTTTGATTTTTAAGCGGCATTCGTTTGAATTTCATGGTCAAGGTCGTATACGTGCGTTAAACGTCAGGAATGATTACAGTTTTTTCCGTTATCGTTTCTTATTTCAGATACAATAATCGATTTATAATTGAGATAATGCATCTATCAATACTTTTAATATTTCAAAAAGAAACAATATTATAGCTATTTCTTTATTGTTCTATATCGTGTCAATAAAATCTATGCAGAGTTTGCAATATCTTAGTCATACTTATTTGCTTATCTAACAGTTTTTTATTTATTTTTATTATTATCCACAATATTCTTATAATTTATCAAAAGATAATAATTATATTGTATATCATATCTATATATCATTTATTACTATCCTTTATCTTTTAAAGAAAATATTATATATTATTTAATTTTTGCATCATACTTAAGTAACATGACAGTATTTAAAATGACATTATGATATAATAATTCTTGACTTTAATGTTAACTTAATCTGTTTATGTATAATAAAAAATAATATAGAATTATGTATAAGTAAAAATAATATAGAATGCTTATATGACAATATCAAATACAAAGTTGAAATATATAAATAATCTCAAATTTAATTAACGCTTATATGACAATATCAAATATAAAGTTGAAATATATAAATAATTTCAAATTTTATATGTAATTAAAAGGTTGTCTATAAAAAGAATTTTTGTTTCTTTAGGTAAACCAAATAGGAAGTTACAAGGTATATATCTAGCTGAAGGTATAGATAAGGTATTATATACTGATGGAGGTGGCATAGGTGTACGTAGCGATTATAATGGTGTCCTGTTGCTGGACACCATTTTACAAACTCCTGTCTCACGTAGTGAAGATGTTATAAAATTAGAACTTTTGCTCTCTGAAGCTACATTATTACATCAATGTTTACGATATATAGATTTACCAGGGATTGATCATGTACAAGAAGTTTTACAAGAATTATCAGCTAAAATTCTTGCTGCCCAAGTGAATCAGAAGAGAGGTATAAAAGCTCAAAAGGTATGGTTTTTTATATTACAAATCTGATATATTATCATAACATTACTCTTAACTACATAAACAATTGCATCCATATATCTTACAGTGGAATACAATATGTTTGGAATTACCACATGGATCTCTGAAATCAGTATGTTCAGGATTGGCCTTGGAATTGAAAAGGCAAAACAGACACATACCAGCTTTGCCCATTGCTTGGGCTATTAATGAAAGATTAAATGGCCTATTGCCTACCCTCGTCTTAGAAGGTGGCACTGCCGATAGAGCACTAATGTTTAGCGAAGCAGCTAGACGTGATACATTTTCAAAATGGCCACATATGAATTACAAGTGGGTAAAGTTATAATATGATATATTATTTTAATTGTGCCTATGAATGATATATTAAGGTAAATCATTTTTAGAGGTTAATGGGTAATTAATACTTTTATAGATGGGCACTACCCGATCGAATGGCACAGGCTGGTTTTTATTACCAACCGAATGCATCGGGCGATGACAGAGCAATGTGCTTTACATGTAAAGTTTGCTTGGTTTGTTGGGAACCAACAGACGAACCATGGTCAGAGCATGAAAGGCACTCTCCTGCGTGCCCTTTTGTTAAACGAGAATATACGCAGAATGTACCATTATCTGTTACACTTGCAACTGCTCCAGCACGTGAATCCGGCAATGTAGATATCATAGGAACAACAAATGTCTCTGGCTTAGTAGCTACAGCTTCATGTAATGGTCATGTTAATGTTTGGAATGTAACAAATCAATTAAAGGTAAAATTTGAATATTTGAAATAGTACTGTGTTATTGAAACATTGTAATATTGGATAATTGTTGTTGTAGGGAGAAGTAGCCTTTTACATTGCACCTTCTGATCAAGAAATAAACAATAAAGAAACTATACAGTTTTCTGCTGCAAGGAACTTGACCTCTTCATATTTAGCAAATCTTAGTTCAGATTCTGATCTTCTTTCTGATTATAAATCTTTGATGTCCCATAAATTACAATTAACAGCGCTATCAATAGTTGGTGCTTCTAAATCTTGCAAGAAAGACTCCAAAAGTGCTTGTTCAACAACATCATCCATACAAATGGATTCTTCTGGTTCAAAGATTAGACCTTGTTTGGTGTGTGGTGTTACAGTGACAGTGACTAATCCTTCGCAATTGAGAACTTTAGAAAATGTGTGGTCATCATCAACGGATCTTGCTTCGTCATCGTCTCTAGTACGAGCAATGAACAGTGTAAATAGTGCTGCCAGTGATACATTGGATATAATGAAGGTTGCCGGTGATAGGTATGCCCCTTCGAAGTCTCATTATTTAGTACTGTATGATTTTCATCACAAAGCAGTATCGACACAATCCACAAAGGAAGAAAATTCTAAAGATTCAAAAACTAAGAAGACTCTTTCTGGGACTGGAACCAGTGCTAGCTCAAATGGTGAAAGACAAGAAAGCTTGTATCCAGAACTTTTCCTTGGTAAATTTTTATATGAAGTACCAGTTATTGAAGATGTCGATTCGGATACGGTTGTCGGATCACATTTTGATGGTACAGTTCCCACAACTGTTCTCACTGCATCATCTTCCAATGGTATTTATCCTACACCAATAGGAATGACGGTTTCATCAACTTTAAGTCCATTCCATGCTGTTAATTTAAATAACAGTAATGGAGTAGAACAATTTGCATCAACATCTGATTTAACAGCAAACAAGAAACCTATTGATATGGTAAAAATGTCAAAATCGGAACCAGTGGTTATAAAAACAGTTTCTATTGATGCACCGGATAATCTTAGAATTACATCTATTATACCATCTAAGGATGGAAGATACTTATATGTTGCAATGTGTCCAATATTAGAAGATACTTCTAGTGAATCTTCACTTACTTCTATATCCACAAAAATGGAAATTGATGAGGAGCGTACATTCTTTCCACAAAAAAGTTATATGTATTGGGATCATCACGAGACTGGAAGATTAATGAATGGTGAAATACGTAATAATATAGAAAATACGAATGTTGTCATACTTGTATATGCTCTGGATTTCTCAGGACAAGTAGTTAGAGTTGCATCAGAACCTATCGTGAAAAGAGAATTACCTTCTGAGCAAGCTCCGATTGATCATGTGCTATTACCATTTCAAGAAAAAAGCAAAAATATATTACATGGAATTAATGCTATTACTAATTCTTCCACTAATTCTAGTGTTCAAGAACCATCTGGTCAAATAGCTCTCGTGTGTAAAGATGGTGTAATTAGATTATTGAATCTAAATACCTTAAAAACTGTTAATGAAGCCAAATTAGATGGCCGAAAATTCATTTCAGTGGCTTATTGTAACAGTATGTTTAAATTTATATTAATAACATTCATATGACAAATTTGACTATAAATGACTACAAATTTACAATTTTTTTTAGGTTTAGAGAGACTATGTGCATGCACTGATGATGGAGCCCTTTACTTTTTTGTTACTTCAGAAGAGGAAAGTTATACAGAAGAAAAAGAAGACATTGAGGATGTTAATATGGTTATAGAAGAAGGTTGCACCAATGTACAGTATGTATAAAATATTATAAAGAAGAAATGGCTATTAAAAATAAATAATACTACACTTTATTTAATATTAAACAATACGATACTAAAAACAAGAATGATATATACATATTTTGTTA